GAGATCGACGACGTGATCCTGGTCGGCGGCATGACCCGCATGCCCAAGGTGATCGAGAAGGTGAAGGAGTTCTTCGGGCGCGAGCCGCACCGCGGCGTCAACCCCGACGAGGTCGTGGCCATGGGCGCGGCGATCCAGGCCGGCGTGCTGCAGGGCGACGTCAAGGACGTGCTGCTGCTGGACGTCACCCCGCTGTCCCTGGGCATCGAGACCCTGGGCGGCGTGATGACCAAGCTGATCGACCGCAACACCACGATCCCGACCAAGAAGTCGCAGACCTTCTCGACCGCCGAGGACAACCAGACGGCGGTGACCATCCGCGTCTTCCAGGGCGAGCGCGAGATGGCGGCGGACAACAAGATGCTCGGCCAGTTCGACCTGGTCGGCATTCCGCCGGCGCCGCGCGGCGTGCCGCAGATCGAGGTGACCTTCGACATCGACGCCAACGGCATCGTCAACGTCGGCGCCAAGGACAAGGCCACCGGCAAGGAGCAGACGATCCGCATCCAGGCCTCGGGCGGCCTGTCCGACGAGGACATCGAGCGGATGGTCAAGGACGCCGAGTCCCACGCCGAGGAGGACAAGAAGCGGCGTGAGCTGGCCGAGGCGCGCAACACCGCCGACTCGCTGATCCACACCGTCGAGAAGACCCTGTCCGACGGTGGCGAGAAGGTCCCGGCCGACATGAAGTCGGAGGCCGAGAGCGCCGTCGCCGCCCTGAAAGAGGTCAAGGACGGCGAGGATCTGGAGGCCATCAAGGCCAAGACCGACGAACTCGGCCAGATCTCCATGAAGATCGGCCAGGCCATGTACCAGACCGAGGAGGGCGCCGGCGGTGCCGGCGGGCCCGAGGCCGGCGGCCCCGAGTCGGGTCAGTCCGGCGAGGGCGCCAAGGACGAGGGCGTGGTCGACGCCGACTTCGAGGAGGTCGACGACGACAAGAAGGGCAAGTCGGCGTAACGCGCCGACGGCGCCTTCACGGCGACGTGACGGGCGGCGCCCCGGGGACGGCCGAGCCAGAAGACGGCACACGCCACACCCTCAGGCGCCGCCCGCTCCGTTCGGGGGAGGCTGCGCCGCCGACGCGGAGGACCGGTCCGGATGCGGCGCGCGCCGCGCCGACGGGTCTCCGGCGGCAGTGCAAGGCGACAGCAAGTAGGGGCACGGCAGCGGGCAATTCATGGCCAAACGCGACTACTACGAGGTGCTCGGGGTCGACCGGAAGGCCTCGGGCGACGAGATCAAGAAGGCCTATCGCAAGCTGGCGATGCAGTATCATCCGGACCGCAATCCGGATGACGGCGAGGCCGAGCAGCGCTTCAAGGAGGTCAACGAGGCCTACGGCGTGCTCAAGGACGACCAGTCCCGCGCCGCCTACGACCGCTTCGGCCA